ATGAAAACCTTGACTTTCTATTGGTTATAGGTAATATATAATGAAACGTAAGAGAGAACTATCAATGAATTGTGAAAGAGAAGATGTGGCAGGAGGGGGTCTGATTTTCTGTAACCAAACAAAATTGATGTACTAATCTTTTTGCATGAAGAAAAACTATGGCTATCTTATAGAAGTTTGTACAAGTTTTACCATGTGTCTGTGTCAACTCCATGCAGTAGGGCAAGCTCATCTCAAGAGGTGGTACATGTACAAGTTGATATGTACAAGCTTAGTTTTGTCCTGTGCAGACACACAATTGGAACTCTCTCTTAGCCCCAGCAGCTAGTTTGAGTTCAAATAACTAAACACCAATCAGAAGACTTCAATTGACAATTAGTATAAGAAAAGGAATTATTTTTTACGTTTGTATGTCACTTGCTTTCTTTTGCAGTCCATGTTCATTATATAATTGTGCATTTTGCAGATACTTGAACTTATCTGTTGAACATCAATATATCCAAATACCACAGTCCCATATACTGAATTGGAGGCTGGATGTATATATAACAACAACAAAAATATTTATGCATATGATTATTAGAAAATACTTTAACAAACATTTTCTGTTGTGTGTGTGTGTATATGTCTGCAAGTATATGTTTGTGGATTTCAGTTTTGCCTGTTTTTCTAAACAAACCCAGTCATATCTTCCCATAAACATTTGTTGCAGTTTATGTATATTGAGACTTGTAAGTTAAGTACAATGCATAATTATGTAACTATTAAGCAGTCTAATTATTGTTTAACGTGTGGCATTCTTAATACTGTTTATTATTCAGACATTATCTCATGAACATTAAAATCTTGTCACAGCTATGAAATTTACCAAATGTGTAATTGTCATACACAGGTAGTTGTAGGTGCTAAAATACGGTAAATCTTTGATCTTGAGAAATACAAAACTTTGACCAACAGTAAACATTAACTTTCAACATGTAGCCTGGCACTAAAAGTGTGATATGACAAATTCTGCTACTATAAAGGAGTATATGGAATCGGACCATTAGAAATATAGTTTTCAGGTTATAAAATAAAGCATTTAAAACTAGTACTGTGATGAGTTTTTCAATTTCAAACTGTAACATCCCTCCTCAACCTAGTTTGGTTAGTGGTGGGGAAGGTTTTCATGTGTAGCGTATATTTATACGCTTATTTTATAATCTTTTTTTTTGTGTGTGTGTGTGTGTGAAAAAGATTTGGGAAGATATGATTTGGTTAATCTGCTTGCACAAGTGCTCATACTGGCTCTTTACGATCTTTGTAAAAGAATTGATCTCTAAATGTCTTTATATTATATATATGTTAATTTGTGTTACTGTGTAATTTTAGCAATTTGGATTGTAATCATACTGATAAAAACTTAGTTAAAATAATAACTGAAGCTAATGAACCACTATTTTCTTTAAATGAATGTAATTTTCAGGTGAAAGATCTAGAAAATAAAGTAAAGGAAAAAGATGAAACTATTGAGAACTTACAGCAAGAACAGAGTAGTAGACCAGAAATACAATTACAAAGTGAAATAAATATTCTCAATATGGAAAAGGTAAAATAGCAGATTTTAAGTGTTTATGTGGATACTAATTATTACTTCATACAAGCACAAACAAAAAACATCTTAGGATGAAGTTGTTTTTTAGTACCAATTATATGTTTTCATGGAATATTGATAAGTTTACATGTAGATAAGAATTTTGTTATTTGATAGGAAAGAATTTAATGTTGTACTTAACCCTTTCCAGACAGGTCACATATTTGTTGACTTGCATTCAAAATTTTATTGAACTGCTATTTCATGAATTTATGTCAATAAGTTTGGTATCAAACTGTAGATTATAATTCAAATTTTAGTATTTTACCGTACTCAATTTCTTAATTTAAAAGTAAATATTAAAAAAACACAGTTAAACATCGATTTTTGTGTGTCACATTGTATGTTGAATGCAGCACTGGTTCAAATTAGATGTTTGTGATGTCAAAATACTAAATCTACAGTTTCATACGAATTAGAGACTCAAATTACCAATATTGACAAGCTAGAATATAAAGTAAGAGCCTCTTTTCAATTTGCTAAGATATTGCTCATGTAATAAATCAAACACAGTGGCACCCTTCCCACCTCTTTCCATCTTTGGAAATGTTTCCTTATATACACTTACTTCTATATTTGGAATGAATAACCAATTTAAAGCTCAGAATTTATGATTTTTTTGTTTATTCAACTACATATATAAAACCTAAAAAAAATTATTTTGTTTTAATAATCTCCACATGCAAAATTTTAAAAGGCTTAGCATCCTTTTTCAAGCAGGAACCGAGTACAAAGATCATAACTAGAAGAGATAATTGTTTGCTATACTTCTTTATTTACTGTTCTATGTTTTAAGACAAATAAGTATAATAATTTATTTCTAAATAGCAATAATCTGTATACATATATAATGTATAATAATTGAAATGTGACTGTATTTTACAAAATACTAGTCTACTAAAACAAAACCAAGACAGGTCACTTTGTAAAGACTAAAGGTCAGTTTTATATTATTGGATACGGTAACATGAGTGCACGTGCGGCGTGTCATTGTAACTTCTGTAGTGTTAGCTAAGTGTGGCTGAAATGTCAATATAATAAAAATAGTAAATATATATAAATGTATAATATTACTAGATTTAAGCTATTTAGTCTAAACATTTTTTTCATTTTATAATTTGTAGTCTTTCTGGAATGAAACACATAGATTTTTATTTATCTTCCTTTTTTTTTTAATGTGGTTATGAGATCGGTCAAACTGACCAAACCCATACAAATATTCGTTACTGAAAATAACAAACATAATATCAAGTTTTTTCTTAAGAATGGTTTGATAACTATCTGGACATTATAAAGATTATGCATGTGAAATTTGAAAATTTTCTGATGCACAAAAGTATTTTTAATCTTAAAATGAAACCTACTTTGTATGTTGTATAGGCAACATGTGAAAAGAAAATAAAAGGCATGAGAAAAACATTGCTTTACAAACCTTAAGACTTAATAAAAAATATTGGATATTTTGCTTATGAAAGCATTGTAATGTTTATTGATAATCTACCAAATTTTGTTAACATACGCTTACTAATTTAAAGGTTATAGCATGAAAACTATAACAACAAGCACAAAATGGTTATGAGCTCGGTCCTCGGGACCGAGCCCGTGCTGGAAGGGCTAAGCATTGATGAAGCCAATGCCATCTATTTTATACAGTTTTTTGACATATATGTGAAGTTTGTATGCCTTAAAAATTAACAGCTGAATCCTGTGAATGGTATTTACTTGAAACATTATAAAGAACAATAAATAGTGATTTGTTAAGATGTGTAAATCTCTATATTTATTTATAATGTCTTCTCTCATAGAGATGGAGATGTATTTCCTATGCTTGTCTTCTTTCCAACAATTACAGTTGTGCACCACACCTTTACCTTTGGGCTAATTGTCTTGAAACTTAGAGAACACATACCTTGCATATTACATTTTCTTACAAATGTTGGTCTCTCTAGTTTATTTAGTTGGAACTGTCTTTAATATATGTAGATAGATAGGGAGGTGTTAGTTATTCACAAGGTTTTTTCTCCACTGTTGTGTCAGTTTGTTTGTTTTTTTTCATCTCAGTAGAATGATCTTTAAAGGTGGAAATGGGAACAGACTAAAAGAAAGCCTGACTGGAGTGCAAGGGTTATCAATGATAAAGATTGCCAAGAATTTGATGTCTATATGCATAGTAAAATATTAAAACAACATTTAAATATATATACTGAACCCCCTTATAGCACTTTTATTCCTTAAAACTCAACACATACCTCTTTTTTTTAATTTCCATGTAGCTAGATGAAAAGATTTCTACACAGTGATCTTAATCTATCTTAAGAGAATAATAATTCATGAATAGAAATAATTCCACTTACTGTAAATATTATAGTATTTACATTCTTAACAAACAGAAGAAAAGTAGTCTTGGATGTATAATACATAATGCAACAGAATTATAGTTAAGCAAATGTCATACGTGTATTAGAAGTGATTCTTTGTTTGTAAACTTATTGCAAAAGAATTATCAAATTTGTTTTATTTCTTATATTGGTGTGCTTGATAACATATTTTTTATTTACATTAGAACTGGCTTTAGGTGTTACTTTCAAGTTTGGTATTTTTTTTTTTTTTGCTTAATACAATGCTGTCTCAAACTGCAAGTTCACAGCTTATTTTTGTTAAAAAATAAAGAAATTCATTCTTGTCTTACAAATTTTACAATTAAAAACAGAAGAAAATGTAATGACCTAATGTCCATACACAGTATTCAGTGCTGGTGAATCACTAGAATTTAATGATACTAAACTTTCTGTAGGTTGAACTTCAGAGAAAGCTTGATGTGGCTGTGACAGCTAAAAAACGCTTCAAACAACAGTGGGGGCAAGCACTTAGACAGATCTCACTTCTTCAGAATCGATTGTATAATTTAGACCAGATGTATTCTTCTAAACAAGACTCGGAGGCTATAATACAAAAAACGTCCACCACAAATCAACAAAAAGAAGCCATCCTCCAGCAAGCTGAAGAACCTAGTCATTCAGATGAAGCAATGAAAAGGCATGTTTTAATTATTTAATTTCATACATTTGTGTAATGTAAATTTTCTAAAGATGCTGTTTATAGTAATTAGTTTGACTAATTATTCAAATATATAAAATGACTAATTTTCTCAATTCAAGTTCAAACTGAAATTACTTTTTATTATGATTTGAATTCCTTGTACTTTTAAACACTGCAGAACCTTATATCTGTCTACACATTATTATTATTAATAATTAAAAAGGGTAAAAAAGTTTGATTAATTTCTGATTATTGTAGAAGTTTGAATTCATTACACAAATCTGTGGCTTTGAGTCCGTAACAGGCACTACTGCTGAGACAGTCGCTCATTACAGATAGTACTTATTTTAAAATATGAGGAATACCGTTAATGATGTTGCAGATCACCAACTTGAGGACATTTATGTGAGGTACAAGAATTGGGATAGAGAATATATGTATCAACAAGACACACAAGATATATTAAATACACACACTTTGATAACACACAAGATACCTATCAATGTTACTAAGTTCACTTGATACCAAATTACAATTCCATCAGTTTATAACAAGAAAAATATATAATTTCTATAATATTTAAACTCTCGACATAATTTATGTAGAAGCTGAGGCTTGGATGTGTTCTATGCTGAGAGATGGAAATCCTGTAAAGGCTTTGTAGACAATGCCGATTGGCAGACTCTGAGCTAACTGCACTACTACAAACTTGATTGTGAACTCAAAGTGTTCCTGACTTAGCTCTTGAGGTTTTGTGATTTATACTTTCTAAAGACATTAGCTTTTATTGAAAACTGACTGGATTTTTTCCAGGTTATGGACACATGGGTAGTGTTCATTTGTAGTTTATGCCAAAACTGACTGGATTTTTTCCAGGTTATGGACACATGGGTAGTGTTCACTTGTAGTTTATGCCAAAAGTGACTGGATTTTTTCCAGGTTATGGACACATGGGTAGTGTTCACTTGTAGTTTATGCCAAAACTGACTGGATTTTTCCAGGTTATGGACACATGGGTAGTGTTCATTTGTAGTTTATGCCAAAACTGACTGGATTTTTTCTAGGTTTTGGACACATGAATAGTGTTCACTTGTAGTTTATGCCAAAACTGACTGGATTTTTTCTAGGTTTTGGACACATGGGTAGTGTTCACTTGTAGTTTATGCTTTACATAATACTTCCTTCATTTTCTTTGGTTGCATCAGCTCAAGGACACATGTGTCCAGTCAAAGGTTAACCTTTAGCAAGACCACTTATTCAACATGAGTTTTATTAACATCAACATTCCAACTTTTTGTTTTGTTGCTGATTGTCTTTCAAGTTTTCACTGACCTGATTAGTAACTCCTACTTTCCCAGATATCTGGTACAGTTTCTTGTGTTTATAGACAGTGTTTAGCCTTTTAAGCAAACATCCTGTCTAACTAGGAATAAGGCAACATTTTTTCCTTGTGATTAGGACTTTTTTATGTCTAATTAACTAATTTCTAATCTGGTGTTATTTTTACAGTAGTTATTTCAAAACTTTAGAGGTCAATGTTTCAATATTAATTCATATCTTATGAATCAGATTTATTCTGCCTTCACAAATGCTTATTTCAGCTCTTATATTCAGTCGAGTACTATATACACTTTCTAACCAAAGTAATAGAATATGTAGTAGGGTAAATACTCCTAGGATATAGGATACACAAACTTGATCATTTCTATTTTGTCATTCATAAAGCAATGAAACTACTGTGTGAGAATTATGGGTAACGTATGCACAGGCTTTAAAAAAACTATTATTGTTGGAAATCAATTATCAGGAGTCTCCGTAAAGAATACATATATATAATGGAATTGACTTGGAAATCATAGCTTATTGTTTGCATGGTCATGGTTATCATTTCCTAAAACATCACATCAACTAACGTGAAAATATGGACACTAAAAATTGCTAAGGAATAACGATAGGCTGTTTTGGTCCAATATATGTGCCACAGTGCAAGAACATATATATAATGTAGAACCATGCATAGAGAATGCTGTAGTAAATGAAGATTGATTGTTTGAAAAACAAACAAAATTGGCTTTCTGGGGGCCAAACAACACTGAAAATAGACACTAGATGATTGGAAGCATGTTATGTGTATAGTGATTTCTGTTAAACATTATTTTGTACAGATGATAAAGTCTGATAACAATTCATTGAGACTATGGGTCCTTTCGTTTTTAAACAGTGCAGGTGATTTAGTCATATGGGTCATTTTCTTGGCATGACTTGGTTCTTAATCTTCTCAAAGGTAGTATTACATCATGTAAACGCCTCAACGTCATTTCTGATCAAATTAACCCATTATGCTACATTGTTTATGCTGGTTAAGATAGGCTATTTTAGGATGATAGTACCATCATCATTTGTACATATGTCATTCAAAAGTGGTGGTTTCAGAAGCATGAAGCAGATTTCTGTTATCTTTCCTGAACATCATATTCCTCTGACCTTAACCAATTTGAACATCTTGGGATCATGCTGGAACATGCAATAAGAGCACTTACTCCACTATTATAAAGTTTTGACACTTTGGAGTCACTGTTGTTAAAACATATTTTAGTAGCAAATATTAGTGAGTTAACCTTTCATATCAGTTGGTAGAGCACTCTTCTGGCATGAGAGAGGTCTTCTTTAAATATAAGGTGAGTAAATTATCACTAGAAAAACTGACACCCAATTTGGGGCTGTCCCACAACCATTAGATAAAGCCTTTTTTGTGTGAAGGTAAGAATATGGTAAGTTGAGTTGTTAAAAAATTTCTTATTAGCAAGTGCTAGAGAGTTAACTGTTTAGATAAGTTGGTAGAGCACTCGCCTGGCATGTAAAAGGTCTGAGGTTTGAACCTGAGCAAGGAAAATTACCATAGTACAACTGCTTGAAGAAAGATGAAATCTACTATTTATCAAGAAGTTTTAGAACCTATGTCACAGCATATTTAGACTCTGATCAAAGAGTTTATATTATTTTGGGCAGGCAATGTAATTAATTATTATACAAAAAAACAATAGTACACAAAATATAATTTAGAAGAGATTGAATATTAACAGAGATGTGTTATGTACAAAAAGTTTCATATTCAACCCGTTCACAAACATTACCATTTAAGAAAAGCCTTATAAAAACACACAGCAAAAGATCAATTTATTTCAAATATTGGAAAGGTTATTAGTATTTAATAATAACTGTCATTAATATAATAAATGTTTCCAAGCTTTTTTTTTTCTTGTCTATAAAGATTGTGAATTTTCAATGAATGCATGATAAAGTAATCTGTGAAAAATTCAGTTTGCACATAAAATAATTGTGTTGTTTTTAAAGTTAGAAACTTTCTATGTGATATAATTAATGTTCTTAAAGTAAAGCTGTTGACTGAGGTAATTGCTACATATTTGACGTTATTATTGTTATGTCATATTTCACAGTTGATGTAAGCATATGGTCACAGTTTTCTTCTAGTGGAGCACGGGAGTCCTTACTAGTGTGGTTCCCAGTTGATGGAGTGATGAAACATAGAGGTTCCTCCTGAGTAGGGTTGCACATAAAAGAAACCAACCTCGTAACTTATAAGTACCCACTCAGTGAGAAGAGGGCTGTTGTCATTATAATTATTGAATAAATATTAACATACTATTCTGGATTGAAGGTGCTTCATCTGGATGTTTTGCCCGGGCTGACCACACTTGTTGATCATAATATACATGCTTATGTAAGGTGCTTCCACTGGATGTTTCTGCCCAGTTGGACCACACTTTAGTTACTGAATAGAATCCCAAGATGCCTCTCCTGGATGTTTTTGCCTTTGGACTAATCCTATATCCAAGGTGCTTCCCCCTTGATTTTTCCCAGGTAAACTGCACTTGTTTTCTGTATCTTATGCATGGTGCTTCCACTGGATGTTTTCTGCTTGGATGGACTGCACTTGGCATAATCTGACGTATCCTGAGGTGCTTCACCTAGATGTTTATTGCCCAGGCGGACTTTGCTTGGCCATAATGATAGATATCCAAGGTGCTTCCACTGTTGTTTTTGCCTATATGGATCGCACTTGGCCTATTCATATACCATTTACAGTCTTTTGGCCCTAGCCACTTATGCCTATATCACATACTATGACCTACTACATATGTGGACAAATAATGCACTATCTATTGATAATGAGCTGATTCTGAATTAGACAAAATTTCATCTCACTACTTATTTATGATGATCTCTTGTTTGTTTTTTGAAGGGGAATATTGCTGTTGTTCCTACCAATATCCATCGACAAGACATCAGTGGGTTTGCTTCACTTTGTCCCAGGACTCTTCCCTTGTCTACTTATTTATGGTGCTTCTCCTGTTTGTTTGTTTTTTGAAGGGGAATATTGCTCTTGTTCCTACCAATATCCATCAACAAGACATAAAATTTCGTATGTCCATTCTATGCTGATTCATGTCACAGTTATACCACACTGCTCCAAAAGTAAGTGCTGTACATCTTTTTTTTGAGTATACGGTGCATGCCTCATACATTCTGCCCTATATACATATTACTGTTTCATTACTGGGCGAGGAGCATACCTCTTCCAGAAGTAGTGGAGAATAGTCACATGGTATGCACATGTTCTGGGATGGTGTAAAAAAAGGAGGTATAATGGACTGGTGTGCTGTTAGTGAAAAAAATGTTACCAATGCTTAGAGGGAATATCAAGGTCGAGATAGCTTTGGGTGATGGGAGGTGAGTACCTATTGGAAATACATTTTCAGTGTAGGAAAACATTAACTTTTATCTTGTCAGGGTCTGTCTTTGTGAGGTGATGAATCATGTTTCACACAGTTATTTTACCTTAGAGGAGAATATGATCCTTATATTGAGACTAGGATCATAAAAAGACAAAAGCAATGTGCAAATTTAAATGCTTAAAATTATGCTGCTGAAGGTATTAAAATATTGAATTATGCTGTCAAATGAATAATTCTCTT